GAAAATTTAAAATTATTTTATAAATAGAAAAATCTCCATATTTAAATTAAAAAATCATAGTTGTAACATTTTTTTTTAACACCTAATTCATTCATTTATTTCAAATAGTAAACAAGAGTTGATACATAAAAAATACATCAATAATGAGCAAATCCAAATACACATCTATAATTACATAACCAAACATTAAGAAGAACGATGAAGAAGTGAATTTCCACGATGCTTTCGATACCGAAGCCTTACTCGCCAACAAGTTAATAAACTTGTTTCTTTCCCTCTCCAGAATCAATCCCAAAACAATGAGATCGTCGTTCGTGGCTATCATCTCTTGGATGAAACTCCATAGACGTCAAATGTTATTGATAGTACTCAATATCTTCTCTTGCATCGATTCCGCGTTTTGTTGTTTCTTCTCTTGCACCATTTCATCTCTTCTTTGTAACGTTTTTATTCCCGGATCCCAAATTCTTCGTGCAAGACACCATACAATTCGAAATCAAGCATTAGCCGTGGTTTCCACAACATAAGGATTGATTTCCATTTCAAAGTCTATGGTCCAGTGACATGGAAACCATAATCCCCAATGACAAAGTTGTTTTAAAGACCACCAACGCATGTAGACTTCATGATCATAATTTGCCCTTGAAATCGTTTGTAACTGCTCATCACATCGGAGTGTTGGCTCCAACGTGGGGATATCAAACGGAAGGTGATTGATTCCGAGGAAAATCTCTTCACCGCCGCTTGAGAACATAACAGTCGTCACCCATAGGGTGAGGAATAACCGGTTTTCAAACCGTTTTCTAGTCATCAACTCCATCGCATGAGAGAAAGGATTATTGGCGTGTGATGGGAAGATCATCAAATAAGAGACGAATCGTTGCTAAAATTTACGAATAAACTATGAAAGTGCTTAAAGGATTGCGACTTGTGCAACGAAACTAAAATCGAAACCGTAAACTATTGTAAAAGAAAGGAAATTAAAGATGTCGAAGAAAGAGGAACCACTGGCATAAGCCGACGATCCTAAGTCGCACATATCTGAAAAATCAAGGATAGAAACGGTCTTTTTGTCAAAGATCTAGAGAAAAATGATCTTTTTTCAACAACACTGTTGTAACATTTAAAAATCCATATTTAAATACAAATGATTGTACAAGATCTTTTCCTTTAAAATTTGTAATATTTGATAATGGAAATAATGTTTAGTTTTTTTTTACTAATTTTTACGGGTCAATTTGTCTAATATACATATTGAGTTCAATAACAAAGAATATAGCCATGAAGATGGACTATTTTAACAAATAACCAAATGTCCTAATGGATTTCCAATTTTGCCCTCTTCAGCTTCACCCTCACGATCTTGATTTGCCGGAGATCCAAAATTTCTATCATAATCACTATGGTTACCGTCACGATGTCCGAAACCACAACCTCCATATCGGAACTACGGTCTCGACCCGGATTTCTTCCTCTTCCACCGTAATCACTAGCATAATCTCCTTCTTCATCCTATTGATTCCAACTGTAACCACCGTCGCCATCATTTCCAAAAGCATCACTGCCGTGTCGGAGCTATAACTGCAAGCCTGATTTCCTCCTTTGTCACCGTAAACGCGAGTGTGATTTCTTCCTCCGCCGCTGCGACCACGAGCACAGTCTCTTCCTCCACCATAAACATGAGATCTGAACAAAAAAAAATTGAAGCTTGATGTAAGGGTATTTTCGTCCGTAATACACATTACATACGAAATATCATGACTAAAGATTTGTTATTGTTATACTATGAATTATTAAATTTTTGATGGTTAGTTTTGCTAAACGAAATAATGAAGCCCAAAAACAAAATACCGTAAAAAAGGAAAATATATTGAAAATTCCAAATTACAATTTATTTTCCTTTTAACCTTTTTTTTGTTCTCTTCTCTTCCACATCGTAACTATAATTCGCCGTCTCTCCGGTCTCGCACCTCACCGAGTAGTCCA